TCTGCGTCGCACGTGTGCCTTCAATGCCATGAGGGCATACGCATGTATTGTTGTCAAGTACGATAAATGTTGCTTGCTTGCATAGGCCAAGCGAAGACGCTTGACGAAAAATCACCCCGACCACGCTGAGTCCCGGAGAGGGGCAAATCTTCCACTTCACGCATTGCCGCCAGAGATACTCCTTCGATATTCTCATTGTCCAAGCCTAATTTCTTATGAAGTGGGAAAAGGGCGTGCACATTCATCATGCCGCCGAAAAGCGGCGCGCCCTGATTGGAAAACTAAGACCAGAAGCTCCTTGAGTGGGGACTCATGGCAAGAGGCCTTAAAGATGGTAACAAGACAGCGAAAAGTTGCTGTCCGCGGGTGACAATTGGAATACGCATTCCGCGTGGGCAGCCAAGGGCTATGGACAGCCAAACTTTGTCCGCAAAGACAAGTCACAAAGGGCTCGAGTGAGCAATCTAGGGAAAAGTCAAGTAATAGAAATTAATTGCCCATGGAAGTCAAGTCTAAAATTTACTAAACGCAGAAATAAGTGTTAGTAATTCAAAGCAAGAATATAGTACCCTGGTGAGTATAAAAGTCACGCCGCACTTAATTTGTGTCCCTCTCACCGCCAGATCAGATCAAGAATAGTGCATCCTTGTGAGTATATGAGTCACGCTGCACGTAGTCGCTTTGCTGCGTGCAATTGTGTCCAACTCACCGCTGAATCAGATTTTAAACTACAACATCGCTGTGAGTACGTTAATACACTTTATCTCTTCAATTATTCTCAGCCAGCGGCAGAACCGGCATAAGACAACCATCAAGACTATCTCACACTCTCTAACAAGAAGTGTGCAGTAATTATTTACCTGTACAATTTTCATCAATTCAACGAATTCAAGGCATCTTGCGTAGTGCCACCTCCTATATAAGAAGCCGTTAATAATAATATATAAAAAATCGTATCTTCATATAAGATTCAAGAAGATTCTATAACATCCATATGTAAATTGTGTAATAAATTGTATAATAAATATATAATTAACCAACTCTCACGACTCTTGTACAGCCCTTACATCGTACTCCTTCCCGAGCGTCTGTTAGGGCGGGCGGCAAGCTAAGCTATTGAAGCATTGGCTGTTCGAGTCAAGAATTACAGCACAACAACTTTCGAACTAAGACTTTATTTTTTGAAAATTATAAATTAATTATACATGAACATAATATGAATCTTTAAATTTAAAAGAATAATGTAGAAATGAATAAACTCCATTAATTTTAATTGAAATTATCATAGGAGTTCCAAATACCTTAATATTCGGTATTGGAGCATTTTCCAAGAACTTTAAAATGGAAGAAGTATAAGCCTTCTAACTCTTATATTTGTAAACATTGATTCTGCGAATTATCGACTATTCTACACCTTGTTTCTGAATGTCCAACAATATTTCCGCATAGCAATGTCGATTGGAAATTCTCGAACCTTCTAAAGCTTTGTCATTCTGGAATCTTGAATTTTCTAGAGCTTAATCTCTGACATCATCAAGACTTCCAACATAGCAACACCCATGCATTATTGCCAGCTAAGTAAGCTGACGAATAATATTACAATATACAGCATATGTTTAAATATTCATTCTGTTTTCTAATGAAAAAATTCAAATCCTCATTTTCTATTTGCATGACATTTTACAGTATTTTACATAACTAAATAAAGTTTTTGGTAGCAATATATGCATATTGACAAAATATAGAATAAGTTATAAAATTTAGAAATTATAGTTATCTTAGATCTGACTAACATATTATCCCTACTGTATCATTTTTGTAAAACTTTATTTCATAATTTATCGTTATCATTATCTAATTATTGTTAAATTAAATATTATTAATTATATTTTTATTTGTATATGATCTAAATTGTAGGAGTACTCCCAAGTCATTAAATATCTGGAAAACTAACCATTAAGAGTTCTGGAAAATGCAAGCCCTTGAACTTCTAGCGCAAATAACTTATAAACAAATCTGGCCATATTCTGGCTCATAATATACTAGTAATATAGCCCTCATAATATAGCCTCATAATATAGCCCATAATATACTCAACATAACATGCCATTAAGTATCTAGCGAAAGCAAGTCATAAAACATATCTGGCGTAAACAAGTCATAAAGATAGCCCGATGACACATGCCAGATGCTTTGCTCAAAAACCACGCTACACCTAATCTTTACAGCACTGACGGTACATAGCGCGCATAATCATGAGATTTCATGCGACGCTACTAAGATGAAGAGAGAAGAGCGCGTCAACAAATCCCCATCATGGAGGGGATTCAAGTAAGACCCGCTCTCATTGGAGCCTCCGCCATGAAAAGACATACTAGTGGGAGAGCCAACCACTTAAGAAGCTCTCTGAATGCAGATACGACCCTAGAAAAGCTACGACCTTCTACTTGTACATGCAATGGACATTACCGCTCCGTGGCAATAGTAATACAAACTCAAGAAACTACAACATTCAAATATCAATTAAAAATCATTATGTTTGAGATTGTGAGACCTTTTTCAATGACTTCGAAGATACGAAAAGGTCAGTACATCTGGAAAACCCCGAAAATCAGTTTAGTTGTGTTATAATATACTTATATATATATGTATAATATACTTATAATTTAAGTAAAATCAGTGCTAGTTACTTCGCATTGCCAATACGTTCAATGTTTGACGCATTAATGACCTAACTGTTTACTGGCACGACTTTTTTCTTGACCATAAAAAACGTTTCCTACTTTTCACTGCAACCCAAAACCCCAGCATGTGCGACATCGGTCGATCGGCGTACGTGCGCATCGGCATTTAAGACAATGCTTAAATTGTTCTTAACTACACCGAATCTTGTCGATCCCGCTAGCCAATTGACAGCGCTCCCAGAAGACCTCCCATATTGATAAGTTCCAGAGAAGGGAGAGAAGACGAATACGAGACGCGTCTCCCTTCAGACACTTTCCCGATTTTAGCTAAACCCGGAAGGAAGTGGAAATTAAGGCCTGTATGATCAATCATGCCGCCCAAAGTCGCACTCTGATTGGATACAAGAAAGAAGAAGGGGTTCCTACTGTAACCGGGTCAGTGAACTATTTAAGAAAGACAATTACTATGTACCACCACTTATTCTAACGAAAAATCACGACTGTTCCCGAGAAGGAGGAACTGGGAAATAGTTATTCAGCTGAGTCTTGTAAAATTAGCTTACATTCTGTGATTCTTGAGCACAGATACATATAATCTAATGGAAGCTTCACTTTCACGCCCGTGAGGAGAAATAAGGAATATCACACTACAACTTCAAGTAAGTCTGCATTAGTGTTCATTTTTCGCTTCACGGCCCGTTCTGAAAACGGACCTACAAGCAGTTAGTGTCCAGAAGTTTCCCGAGCATACTCACTATGCAAGACCAGCAATTCGCGCCATTCAGTGGCGCGCATTTCCTCTAACCTCTATCTTATGCTCGTGCTCACTCACGCAACTTACTATTCAGAGGCAACGGCAACACGTGTCAAGATCACAATACGAACAAGAATTGTAGTGTTCGTTCAGAACACAACAAAGATCATAACGTCTCAAGTGGTAATATTCAATAGACTATAACCTATCTCTTTTCACAGTAAATCATTATCTCACCAGTTACGTCCAGAGAATAAGGAATTTATCACCCTCTAGTTCTTCAATAGAAGCATATCATAACGCCTCATTATTATTGAGAAACATAAGAGTCATTTATAACCTCATCATGATTAATAGCCCCTAAATTGGAATAAATACCAATAAGAATTAAATATTTTAATTATTGAATTAGTGCATCAACCCGCTAACTTGCCCACGTATTCTCCCACACATCTAGTGGTTTTCGTAGTTAATTTTACACGTTGGTTCTTGAGCCGGATTAGTTGAGTTAATTTTTATACACGTTATAATACACCTTATAGAATAATCTGAATAAATTACAACAAATAGCAAAACTATTTATTATTGATTACACGCATTATCTTGTCCACTAGCCTGCATCTTCCTACCAACCATCTGGGAGTCTACATCTAACTTTAGATATTTGGCCTTCCTCGCCCGGTACTCTATTTTTAGACAATATATCTGCTATTATACCTCATTAAATTATTATGTACAGTTTGTATGTTTTATACATTACTCTTATTTATTACTGTATTATTATTAAATTATTTCTACCATTACACTGATAAATTATACTTAGAAAACATAAACTAACAAATAATAAACACTCCTATGTTTTGAGAATAAAAAATCTAATGTATTTTTCGAATACTTTTTTATTTTTCTTAATCAATTAACGATTTTAAATTGTAATATCTTATTTTCGATGACATTGAAGTTCTTTCCATTTCAGAACTACTGAAATTTTTATCCTTTGTGAATCATTTTTCATTTATATACTGTAGCAAATACATCATTTAAAATAAAAGAAAATTTAATTTGTTTACACCATTCGTACTTGGCGAAAATCAGTAATATTCAGAAGTTTCATTATTATAAAACTTGTATAAATATTATTCTAGTTATAACGAAATTATATAGAATTATCGACTCCAATAGTTTGCATAGCTCTTTATATAATAATAAGTTAATTGCATAAGTGCAGTTTCAATAGCTCAACATTAGCATTTAATATTTATTATTTTAACATTTTGAAATTGAACATTAGTTTCATTTATAAATTAACATAATAAATAACTATTACATTTTAACGGATAGGATATAGTACTGCAATATGCGCATGCCGCTGTAAATTCAGTATTTTAGCGCATGTTGCATAACGATAATAAGATATATTAGGTTTTAATATTTAGAATATTGTTTGTTATAATAAAAATACAATATAATTTTATATTTTATTAGACATTTTAAATTATGATAATTATACATATTAAATATTTGTATTCATAACTTCTAAAAATTATCAAGTACATGTAAATATGCCTTTTAAAGCGCATACTCCTATTTAAATAGCTTAAATCGTAAATTATATTAAAACATGAAACTTTCTGCAGAAATGTTTAATATAAAATATGTATCTGACAATATATGTACTATTATAGTATGAATAGTATTTTGGTTAGCAACCAGAACATAAAAATGTCAATATTTTTATTTGGTACATCAGTGTCTAATATACAACACAAGAAAACTGAGTTGTCTTGTTTAAGTCTATTTTATAAAATCATAATATGTATTTATTATGTTAATTCGACAACGATTTATAATTCTATAATAGCTAATCATTTACATGAAACAAATTCTAGTTTAAAATTTTATATTGAACCAGAATACCATAAAACTAATGAATTATCAAAAAGTAATAGTTACATAAAAAATATTTTTAATGAAAAATTAGTGAATAATTACTATATTAAAGAAAATATGTTAAAACATCAAACTATTGATATCACATTAAAGGATTTCAAAACATATACAATTTTTACAATCGAATTTCATCGTGTTGAAACTCCTTTTATTATTGGAATTTGGATATTCTTTGCAAGTGTTGCTAAAATTGGTATGAACATTTTCAAAATAATAAATAACTTAACTTGAATTTTTTTTAATAAGATTAATGTATGTACATTTTATAAAATAATAAAAAATATATAATAAAAGAATGATTCTTTTATATTTTGGTCAATTGTGTATTATATTAATTTCCAAATAACATGATAATTATAAAATTTTTATACGTAAGTTTTATATATACAAAGTTTGATCTTTTCATCTTTATTAATGTTATAATATTGATTAACAAAAATATGTTGTATTGTTAATTCTAAGTAATTATTTTCTTATAATTATTTTTTTACATTACATATATATATATATATATATATATATATTAAAGTAGTTATTGAATTTATATAATTTTATACATTTTATAAAATAAATTTTGCATGATACAAAAAATATTTTGACATTTTTTACCAGTTTCTTTAATACAATTGTAATATAGAAATCTTAAATTCAGTTTTCCTTATAGGGGTATTATATAGTATTGGCGCATAGATATATTTGATTTTTATTAAATAATAAGTTGTTTCTCAGTTAATACTAAAACATATAAATTATCTCTATTGATTTTTTAAAATATTTCAAAATTCAGAACAAAAACTTAGGTGGTATAATACATATATAACAAAAATTATCAGAAACAAATATAAGTTAATATAAAGACACAGATCAATTGAATATGAATTTTACAACGTATACAGGGTCAGTGATTTATTAATATGTAACATAAGAGTGATGAATAAAATATAATTATTTTTTAAACATTTAAAACTTCTTTTACTATCAGTGTCTACTATCAATGAAAATATAAGCAGAAAAAATATTAATGCCAGTTATTTTCATATGTGGATTAATATTTAAGAGAAATATATATTATAGTTGAAATTAAATATACAATTTAGCTTAAATCATAAACAGAATATATAAAACATGCATAAATGAAAATACATAATTGAATATTACAATATATTAAAAGATTTTTTAAATGTTATGGAAAATATAAAATCCTTTTGATTATACTAGAATGAGAAAATTTATTTTAAAATACATTTTAAGTGAGATTAAAAAACAGAAAATTGAAAATGTTTAGTATCTTTTATTACTAATATTCAATAAGATTTGGTTAATCTATGGTGATTGTCAATATATTAAGAATATTGTTGTACAGTTTCAGGCTATTCTAATTTAAAAATATATTTACTATTGTTTTAAAAATTATCTATTTTTCAAAATTTATTTAAGAAAAATATATATTTTTGAAAAATGAAAAATAAAACAGTATCCATGGCATTTAATAGTAACAAAATTAGTATTTTAAATATTCTTCAAATATATTTACATATCCTCATATATAAAAATCATTAAAAATTCGTAAATAAAATAACTTCTGTATTAGATACATTATGCCTATTCTTACTAGTCACCTAACTAAATAAAACATACAAAAGTATGTGACCTGTAAATAAATACTTTAAAAACTAATAAAACACTTTTTAATAATGAATTTTCCAGTTTGTTTACGGTTAAAAAAAACGCAATACTATATGAACTATGTTTCCGGCTTTTTATTTTCTAGATCCAGTAAAACTGTAGAAGTAATGTGAAGAAACACTGTCATTTAAAAAAATAAGCTTTTTTATAATCCTGATTTTTCTGTTATCCTAGAAATAAATTACCAGATGTTTTATATATTGAAATTAAATTAATTTATATTCTAATTATCGAAAATAACACAACAATTTTTTTTCTGAACTTAAAATTTACAAATATCAAGTCTCAAAGTAGACTCAAGCCGTTAAACATATGCGAAAAGCCGTTGTAGCTAAACATCTGAGAAAACCCAAGTCATTCGAATATCTGGGAAAATCCAGCTTATTGGAGATCTGGAAATAGTCGTTGCACGCAAAATTTCCGATCTAACGGTACATAATACATACACTGTTGTCGAGACTACTCATGTTGCTGCTTGGATAAACCGAACAAGGGCGCTTCAGTCTGGAGTTCCTTTTGGCGGGAAAGCCACGAGAAGACTCTCTCTCTCTCTGATTGAAGGCGCAGCCGCTAGAGGCGCTCTTGCCGATGTGGCCACTGTCGAAGCCAAACTCTTTCTGAATACGGAAGATGCAAGCGAGTTCGATTGGAAAAACCTAAGGCAGAAGTGTTTCCTAACCGGAAACGTTTTGGTCAGAGACCTTAAGTGGGGACAACGCAGACACAAGAGCGGTCCGAGTGGAGACGCCAAGAAAGAAAGAAGCTCTTACTTCATGGTGATACATTAGTGATCAAGCTTTAAGCCCAAGACGCCAGGGGCTAAAAAGTCTCTTATTTAATGATGGTACATTAGTGCTCAAACTTTAAGTAAGAGCAACATAGAAGAAAGACACGTCAATTCTCCTGTGCTCCAATTAAAAAGTGGTAACACCATTTCCTTCATATCAAGAAAACGCCAGACTAAATATTGAGCGTACATAATCATTGCTGATCCTTGCAAAATCAGCAACAACTCAGCACCAACAACAATGAGCATTCGCGATGGTGAACTTCTCATCAGGTCAAAGCTACTGTTTCTCTGTAAGACATAAAGATTATGCGACCTAAATTATTGTCAGTCCTTACAAGACTAGCATGACGCTATTATTAATAGCACAAATCACACTCACTAATAAGGAGTGTGCATAATCAGTTGCTGATCCTTATAAGATCAATAACAACATCAACATCTCAAGGAAGCATCTCGAGAAGAGAACTTATTCAACACAAGATCGGTTATAAGCAACTGCAAGGACATGACCGTATATAGTGTATTCTCTTCCAATATATATATATATATATATAAATCCAATCAAAGAATAGTGTAACTGTAAATAAACCAAATTTTCGAAGAAATGCATACTGTATTTATATAGCCCTTCCACTTAACTCCTTCCCGAGCACCCGCTAGGGCGGGCGATACATTAAAGCTATCGAAACATTGGCAGTTCGAGCCAGGAAATAAAATAGTTTCGAACAATTACTAAGAAATGGGAAAACACATTTTCATTACATTATTTTAATTTATTACCAAAAATTGTTTTAAAAAATAATTAAATACAAAAAATTATTTATACAATATTGCAAGCACTAATATAGATGCGAGAACACGTATATATATTTATACATCTAAAGGTTGCAGTTAAAAAATTATACTATTTTAAAAACAAGAATTTACATTCTATGTTTTTATAAATTTTTTCTTAAAAGAACATATACGTTTTAAGTAGAATCAATAAAATTGTTAATAAATTTATATATATATGTTCGATATTTTATAATTTATTTATAATTAATATTTTAATGTATATCAAGAATATATAATATACTAATTTTAGAATTTTATTAATCAATTATACAATTTTTAATAGGGTTTCATATGGCACCGAATTTAAATAAAATTTTTCCTGAATCATGTCTGCTCATTGTAGTGGGAGTTGTTGTCGGATTATTCTTATTTCAAACAAATAATGTACATATGTCACCATTAACACCGGATACATTCTTTCTATATATGCTTCCTCCTATAATCTTAGATGCTGGGTACTTTATGCCTAATCGATTATTTTTTGATCATCTCGGAACAATTTTGTTATTTGCAGTAATTGGGACTATTTTTAACACATTATCAATCGGTAAGTAATATATATTCAATTTAAGAATATCTTAAAAATAAAAGATTAAAAAATAATATGAAAATAATATAAAATTATTAATAAATTGAAATAATCTCTTTTTATGGCAGTTTTTAAATAGTTGCAAATAATTTCATTAAAGTTTTAAACGAAGAAGTTTGTTCGAGATTCAGAGAATCTTTTGAATATTATCATTTCGGAACAAATCCCAACGGCTACCATTTCAAAGAAAAAGTTCAACGGTTATCATTTTAAGGAAATTATACAAATGTCATAACTTCTAAGAAAATTCTCCATCGGTCGTTGGAGATTCGGAAAAGTCGATATATCTGAAATTTATGCACTTGTTCAAGAATGTAAGAAAACTCGCAGCTCATTAAACTCTGGAAAAATCGAGATAAGAGTTCCGAAAAAGGCAACTCTCGGCTACGCGAGTAATAAAATTCAAAAACGCGCCTCGGATTTACTAAATCTAAACAATTCAGCAAAACTTCGAATATCTTAAGAAAATAAACTTCATAAACACATCTGACGAGAACAAGGCCCCAAGTGTCCAGAAAAACAAGTCATAAAACTAATGCTACGAGACATTTGACACAGCCTCGCCATAAAGCATCTATCGACGACAAATCATAAAACATCTGGCGTACACAAATCAAAAAGTTAGCCTGAAAAACACAAGCCAGATGATACAGTCAAAAACAATGCTACACCTAACCTTCACAACACTGACCGATCGCAACGCGCATGATTATAAGAAATGCATGCAACAATGCTAGGATGGAGAAGGAAAAGCGCGGCATCAAGACCCCCCATCATGGAAGGGAGTTGAGCAAGACCCGCTCTCATTGGAGCCTCCATCTTGGAAAGACTCACTGGTGGGAGACCCCACCACTCGAAAAGCGCCGTGATTAGAATTACCATAAACTAAAGAAGAAATCTAATTGGGCACACTAATAAGACTAAATCTCATTGGCAACGCCATGATCGACAAGACAACTCTGATTGACTCTCAACCGCGTGGTCGAGAGAAGGCTTTAAAAAAGGCAACGCCGGCATGGCACAATCACTTATCTTATCTTATCTAACAGAAAATGAACAAGTCAATTAAACGCAAAAGTCCAAGATTAATCTATTCAACACAAGTACTAGATAATCAAATCATACACTCGCAGCAGTGTAATACAAAAAAGGGGAATCGAGAACTACGAATATTAGTCCGCACAGTATACACAATCAAACTACAAGGAGCCATACGAGGCAACTCAAAGAACAAGACAAAGCATTGCTATACACAACGTGCAGACTCACGAGGTATATACGAGGTATATACACAAGCTATATACGCCAATCTGCAGATACGTAAAGCTATCTGCAAAACATAATACAAGCAATTCAAGCGACACCACGTGCTCATATACACGGAAGCGCGGGGGTTTACGACCTCGCTCTTCTGTGTGTATTATTTCATCTACACGTGTGTCACATATAGAGGACCAGCAAGGCATCAACTTCTTCCTGTGTATGCAACTTACGTGATAGCTCAGTGGCAATAAACACACAAATCAAGAAAAGTCAAAAAAATCAATTATAAAAATAAAACTAATTATAATTCAACTAGTGCAATCATAAATAAAACAAACTAAATAACAAAACTGCTCTTTATTGAATACATGTACTATCTTGTCGACTAGCCTGCAATCCTCCTATCAACATCAGGAGCTCACATCTAATCTTAATTACTTGGCCCTCCTCGCCCGGTTTTTTTAAACAGTTTTTTAAAACTATTTATAAACAGCACTAATGTTAATATTTGAACAGTTAATACGTAGTAAGTTAGCCTTGCATTTAGAAAAATATAATTCAGCTCGTGTTTACGTTTAATAATTGATACTAAATATATTTGAACTATATTTCTCCTATTAAATTATTTATTCATAGTATTTTTATACCTCCTAATAAATATATAAATTCTGTACAGATTTTAAGTTTAAAATATAGAAATATATTTTATTACGTAATTAACCTAAATATTTCCAAGGTATTTGATAATTTATTCACATTTAAAGATATTCAAACTTATATTACAGATATTATGTAGTACCTTATTCTAATAAAGAAAAAATATTTGATATAATATTTCTATACACAAAATAATTTTGTAAATGTACTTTCTTATAAATACTATTACTGTTCGGGATTGAAGCAAGTTCCAAGACCGTCGATTGTCGTTCTCAGATTTCTGTAAACACTTTGGACAAAAATTTTCGTATACTTGTTATTTTTTTTGTTTCAAATGGCCCGCAATGTTTACATGGTCTTCGGGTAATAACATCGCCCAAAATTCTCTAACGTTATTACGCCTTATTTTTTCTTTCGTCGAATTCTCGAAACATCTAGACTTTTCTTTCTGTACCTCATATAATATTCCAGTGCAGCAACGACGATGCTTTGTTACCAGCTAAGCGAGCCGCCGCGTGGATATAAAGCAAGCACGCGGCGTGCCTCGCTCTCTTGCCAAACATCTTTTGCCGAACCACCCTTGCTCATACCGAACATCTTGCCGCGAGCCGACCGGAGTTTACCGATCATAGTGAACCGATCTAACCATTTACCAATAGAAACCATGGCACACGAGTCTCGGTCTGCCCTCAGCAGGACTGCCATGGAACGGTCAGTATTTTCAGTAGAGCCGCCACGGAACTATCAAGCCTTCGGCTTCGTGCGCGTATTCAAAAGGCTTATACGCTCATTGTAATTCTACCTCGCGCTCACTTAACTGTTATTGCGGCTAAGTGTTTCAGTATATACTGTGACGACGACACGTGGCCACATATTCGGCAGCCTACTAAAAATACACGTGCATTGTAAAAAAGAAATCAGCAGACTAGACAATGATTTTGCAGTGAAGCCAATTGGAATAGTAATCAAAAGGGACTCATCAGCTACGCAGAAATCAACACACATTGTCGGTAGTTTACAAGGTACATCTCTTTATATAATTATATAAGCTAGTCACACACGAGTAAATCAAGTTTCATCAAACTTCTCTTAAAACAGTCGATAGGTGATAGAGTACGCTCTCTGAAACTAATACTTCGAAGAACGCGCAGTCTCTCAAACAGTCGACACAAGTGACGCAACAACAGTTTATAGAATAATCGACTATAAATACATTTTCATCAAGTCCTTCAGAGCTCGATGGCTTGTCATTTATGACTCTTGCGTGTGACTAGTCCTTTCTACTATTCCCATTATAACTAAAGACATAATTGATTACTTACCAATTTCCATTAAGACATTTTACACTCTATCAAGTATGATCATTCTTTCTACCAAGAATACTTGATTCCAACCACCATCTTCTCATGCTCATTCATGAGCGTGATCGACTACGCATCCTGACCCTTACAACATCAGCATAAAACCGACATTCAAGATCCACAGTAATTTCCATAGCATTAACGACATCACCCTGATGAGCAATACAATATTTTCCCTTCTCTCACCAGAAGTAATCAAACTGCAATATTATAATAATTGATAACAAGAATAAACGATATTTTAACACAATAATAATACATCCTACTTAATTTCAGCCCTTTCACCTGTTATTTCCTCATCAGTCATCATGACGAGAGACTAATTCATTGAACTATTAAATTGGCAGTTCGAGCCATAAAACAAACCCTTCATAATAGAATACTATACATACATCATTACATACACCACTATATTTTTTAATAATTATATTAGATAAATATTTTATTCACTATTATCTGAACTATTTTTCAACTCAGAATCGTATGTGACTCACATTGCTTTATATATAATATTATTTCTTAATATTTACAGGTTTATCTTTATGGCTAATGGGAAGAAGTGGATTATTTTCATGTGAGACACCTGTACTTGACATGCTTTTATTTGCGGCTTTAATAAGTGCAGTTGATCCGGTTGCAGTATTAGCAGTATTTGAAGAAATTCATGTTAATGAAATTTTGTATATTGTTGTATTCGGAGAGAGCCTTTTAAATGATGCCGTGACAGTTGTAAGTAAATTATTTTTTTCTATATATATTCTGTATAATGTATATTGTTTCTCTAAAATAAAAGAATTCAAATATATATTTAAATATGTATATAAATAAGATTGAAAAATTATCTAAAACATAAATACCCTGATGTTAATTTAATAAATTATAAATTTTTTAATAATAAATATTTTCAGTTCAATGGATGTATGTTATGATGAAGGCCCTGTCTATACCAAACTTTTATTACGTGCCAATGCTATGGATCGTGAATGAAGTATATATTTATGCGTGTGTTGATTGGGCAATTGTGTGTTTGAGTGTGTTGATTGGCAAGTTTGACGGGCAAACTTACGCGCTCTCGAACTAAAACTTCGAAACCATACAGGCCCTCCAACAGTCGATACAAGTGACGCAATACGTCAATTGCATTGTCAAGGCCAGACAACAATATATCGAATAATCGACTATAAATACATTTTCATCAAGTCCTTCAAAGTTCGAAGGCTTGTCATTTATGACTCTTGCGTCTGACTAGTCCTTTCTACTGTTCCCATTATAACTAAAGATATAATTGATTACGTACCAATTTCCATCAAAACTTCTTACACTCTATCAAGTATAGTTATTTCATCTGTCCACCATACTTGATTCAAACACCATCTCATGCTACCTCGTGAGCATTATTGACTACACAGGCTAATGTTTACATCAGCATAATCACAATTTTCAAGATACACAGTAATATCCATAGAATCCACAATAATCAAGAACACAAGAAAACATCCTCATTACTACAATAGAATAATATTCTCTCTCAACAACAGTGCAATATTATCATAATATTTAACAAATAATAAACATTGTTTTCACTAAAAATACATAATACATTAATATTTTTCAGTCCTTCCACTTATTAAGTTATTATGACGAGAGACTAATCCACTGAACTATTGAATTGGCAGTTCGAGCCAGAAAAGAAACCCTTAAAATCGAACAATTAATTATATTAAATACATTAGTAATATTATTTTTTCCATTAAATTCATTTTAATATTGAAGTGGTTTTGTTATTTATTCAATTTTTAAAATTATTTATTACTTTGTCTAATTTTCAAAATATACTTATTTGTATATTAATAATTAATACCAACTAAATTATATTTTTTCTTATACTCTAGTTAGCGCTGTTCAATATTTAAACTATTAATGTTGTAAATAAAATATATAACTTAGATTTAATTTATTTCCTAATACTTTAACTAATAGTAACATTGTTAAAGAAATTTTTTTAATAAAATGTTACGTGGCAATAGTAAGAAAAGAAATATTTGTTGAAATTAAAAGATATCTTTTAAACTTTTTATGAATTTTATTATTTTTTATATATTAGTGATTGTTCTATTTTAAAGATTTAGTTTATGGCTCGAACTACCAATTCAATAGATTAGTCTAACTACCAGTTCAATGGATTAGTCTCTCGGCAGGATAACTTCAAAGGAAATAATAAGTGATACGGCTGAAAAATATCGTGCATTTAGTAAAACAATATTTATTATTGTAAAAGATTATAATAATGTTGCATTTTGATGTAGAGAGAAATAATTCTATTGAAGTAGTGAGGGTGTATTCTTGTATTCTTGAATTATTGTAGTTCTATAGATATGACTGTCTTGAAGTCGAGGTAATGCTGATGTTGTAAATATCAGCTGGTGTAGTCAATAAATCATGTTTGTGAGGTAGCATGAGACGATGGTAGTCGAATCAAGTATGCTGAATGTATGAATAACTATACTTGATATGGTGTAAGATGTTTAATGGAATATGTTAAGTAATCGAGTGTCTTTAATTATGTAAGGGGAGCTGTAACGAGCTAGTCGCACGTGAGAATGATTAATGATAGCATTTCTAACTATTGAAGGATGTAATAATCTGTATTTATAATCTACTCTGTATTTTCAGTCTATCAATAGTTCTGTTGTTGTCCTTCTGTGACAATGTACTTAAGGCATAGTGACTCTTGCGTCAGCTGTTGATGGCCTGTACGATGTCGAAGTGTTAGTTCGAGAGAGTGTAAGTGTGCCCTATTTCTGCCAGAGGTCCTGAATGGTTTCGAAGTGTTCTTCGAAAAAGTGTACGTTTGTCCTCTCTCTGACGTGCCTTATTTCTGCTAGAGAGCCTGATTGGTTCCGAAGTGTTCTTCAGATGAGCTTAATCTTGCCTTCTCTCTGCTAGCGAGTCTGAATGGGCTGAAGTGTTCTTTGGAAGAGTGTAAGTTTGCCCGACTTGTTGTGTGCGAGGTGTGACTAACTGATTAATTAATATAAA